CCCATGGCAACGGTTTGCAGCACCCACGGAGAGGGGGCGCAAGCGCGCCACTGAGGGAAGTGAGCAGCCAGCCGGCTGGCCTGCAGCACTGACGGCGGGCGCCGTCGCCCCCCAGTGTGTCTGCAGGGGACTGCATCCCCTGCCTGACCTGGCTCATTTCGCCTGCAGGTTGAGCATTTGAGATTGTTTGAGAGTAAACCACACTCTTTATTGATTGCAACATGGGAACATGTACATTTATACATTTTGTTGGGTGCACCTTTTCCGGGGCATAACAATGAAAAACAGCGGGAACACTCGATGTGGTCGCTTGAACATTCAACACATCTGAACCGTGTGCAGGGGTTATGTGCTTGGGAGACCGCGATAGGGAAGTGCAGCGCCTTCTGGGGCTGACAACCTGAACAGAACTTAAGCGGCACCTCTTGTGCGGCAACAAAGGGGTAAGAGCAGCGTCTCCCTGCTGCCGGATCCCTTCCCCACTCGCAATCACAGCTAGGAGGGCTGAGGCTTCTTCCTCCTGGGCGTCGGGTCCCGTCGGGGGCCCGGGGGAGGGCCTTTGCCCCAGGCCGACTGGCGTGGAGCTCGGGCCGGAGTACGTGCTCTCGCCGGCGGCCCTCCCACTCCAGCAGTGGGCGCCGGTCTCTTGCCAGCTGTCAGAGGAGCGGTGGGCCTGTGAGAGCTAGCAGTGGGCTTCGGCTGGGGCTGGCGTCTGGGGATGATGTCGCGCAGAGCTTCCGTCTGCTTCTTCCTCAGATCGAATCTAGCCTGAATGGCTTCAAGTGAATGTCCGAATAACCCAGCCGCAGACACTGGTGCGTCCAGATACACAGCTCTGTCTCTATCAGGGACGTCGGAGAGGGTCAGCCACAGGTGCCTCTGCGCCACCACTGTCGAAGCCATCCCTCTGCCCAGGGAGAGCGCTGCACAGCGAGACGCACGGAGGATGTAATCCGTGGTGACTCTAACCTCGTTAAGAAGAGGTGACAGCGGGCTGTCCTCCGGAACCAGCGATCCAAGCTCCGCCAGGCACATTGCTTGGTACGTCTGGAGCATGGTGACGGAGCTCATGGCTCGAGCGGTGCCGGCCTGAGCCCGATAAATCTTCTCCAGCTGCGAGGCCGAGAATCTGCAGTGCTTGGACGGCAGAGTTGCGGGGCCACCGACACCATGGTTATGGGACGGGGCCAGATAAGCAGCCAGAGACGGCTCCATAGGGGGTGGGTTAGCTAAACCAGCTCCCTCGGCGCCGTCCAATTCCATGTACTGTCCATAGCCGGGCACAGTGACGCGGGTAGACAGAGGTTTGTCCCATGACGCTGTTAGCTCGCAGAGAAAGTCTGGGAACATGGGGAGGCAGTTTTTGGCCGTTGCGGGCTCCGGTGGAAGGAAAAAACCCGCAAACCGCGACGGCTTCCGAGCTGGTGGAGGAGAGGGCCAGTCCACCTGCAGCTTCTCAGCGGCACGGCGAAACAGGGAGAAAAGAGAGGTGTCATCGTGGCCGACCGGCGCAGCAGCGGCGGCATATTGGGTCGACAATGAGCTTTCCTGCTCATCCTCCGACAAACCATGGATGTCCAGGCCGATGTCCAGCACGTCATCGTCTTCCTGGGGAGCGCTGGCGGGCTTCAACCCAGGCTGAAGCCCGTCAGCGCTCCTGCATGGTTCCGGTCCGTCATCGGCTAACCCGTCAACGTATTCCATGTGGTCAGCCCAGCTAATCGCGGGGACATCGACCTGAAAATTTTCGTCTTCGGACTCGGACGAAGCCGGGGCTCCAGACTCGGAAAGAAGAGGGTCATGCCGTGCGACAGCCGAGCGTCCTAGCACTCTTTCCACAAACGTCACCCGTCTTTCCAGGGTCGAGCGTCGGAGCTGGCGACAAAACGCACAAGCTTCGGGCTCCGTCAACGCTCTCCTAGCGTGGACGATCCCCAGGCAGACAGGGCAGGCATCGTGCTGGTCGCTGTCGTGCAAAGAGAAACCACATCCCTGAGGACAGGGGCGAACAGAAGATTTCTGCTTTGCTCGCTTCGGTTTGGAGTCCATTCCCAAAACGCAAAGCGAAACGCTGCACAAGAAAAACTTGAAAATAGCGCTCCGCGGGCAGCCTACGCACCAGCTGGGCGGTGGAGGCTAACACCAACAGGGGCAGTTAAGCTAGGTTCAAGTTGGCAGACAACGGAGCTAACTAGCAGTAGCTAGCTAGCCCAACTCAGCAGAGGTGTTCTCAGCGAGGTGAAGAGCGTAAGAACTGAGGGATGACGGTGATGGCAGCGGCTATATGTGCGGGCGGGGCCTTGCGCGTGTCATCACACGTCATCTGCCGTAAAGGCGTGAATAAAGGTTTCTTCAGCCAGGACACGCGAGGGCGTGATATCCCATACTTATGTGTTGTACCGAGTGAATCGACTGAAAGGGAACTCCTGATGACACACTATCGAATTTGAAGTGTGACTCTATAGAAACAAGATGCTAGCAGTAGGATTATAGCACTGCACTATATATGCACTGATAGTGGCAAAGTTAAATCTAAGCATTAAAAGTAACCTAAGTAGCGTTTTCCATGGAAGTTTTAAGTAAAAATATAAAACAAATGCTTAACATTTTAATACTACTACTACTAATAATTAAAGTAGCTTAACCTTAACTTAGACTCACAATATTTTCACATAACACTGAAAAATATTTTCTACCTGGGATCTGGGTATAGCTTTATCAGGAGTTGCTTGAAGCCCTGCATTTCCATCATGTAACTGCACCCATAATTTCCATCCATCTCCCTGTCATACAGACAACTAGCAGTGCTCTGGCGATCCCCGATGGAGTCTCCGTTGTTTACTTTTTCCAAGCATATCATCAGCTCCTAGTATCTCCTCCTCGCATGGCGTCATAGCTTGGTGGTGTCTTTTTTACCACAAGTGTTGAAACAAGTGTAGTGTTTCTACCTTTAGCGGGAACAGCTTTCTCGCATATTTTGCAAAGTGCTGTAATTTTTGTTTGAGGTTGTTGAAGGGACTCCCTGTTACTAAATTATTATTGGAGGCTGCCTCTTGCTGTAACACATGTCTGGGCTTGTCTCATGCGCACTATGAAAGTAAACGTATGGCATCTCTTTATCATTAATATCACGCTCTGACACTCGTGCATTTGTCACATACCATTAGTCTTTTGCTTTCTATAACCAAATGCCTAAGCTAAAAGACACACATGCAGTTTCACTTGGAATAAAGGCTTGGGTGCTCCAAAGGCTCTAAAAGACTCTCTTTCAGTCTTTATGATGTCAGAGTGGAACATTGATGCCCCACCCGACCTATTATTCAAACCCTTTGTTTGTGAGGAACAACCAATGAGAAGAAAGATGACTTAAGTTGGAGGGCTTGTTGCAGACAGTGGATGAACTGACACTTTACCGTGTAATAATGATGATGATAATACTGCTGCTGCTACTACTACTACTAATGATGATAATAATAATGATGATGATAATAATGATGCAAAAAGAGATGGTGAAAATGTGGATAAACTTTGACAGAGAGATTGGATTTCATGCAGGACTTGGATGAAGGGAAGTGGATTTTAAACTCAATGGTCTTGATGGGGCATAAAAGCATCTTTAAGTGGAATCTGTCCGGCATTGATAGCAGCTAGCCTCCCTCTCCATTTCCCAAAGAGGGCCAATCAAAGCCAGTGAGCCACGCCCTCCCTTTATCGATTAACTACCATGTGACAGCCAAACATCCATCACGCCGATACTTTTATTTTGGTGATTTTTTTTTTTTTCCCCTCCCGCGTGGACAGACAGTGTGTCAGAGGGCGGTGTGAGGTCAGGTTTCCACAGTAACTGTCAGCCTCCAATCCCCCTACAGCTGAACACCCTCATTCATTACCATGGCAGCGGAGAGGCCCCGTTTCCCGGGGGACGAGGGGCGTGAGGGACGGAATGTGAGACGGCGAGAGAGGGAGGGAGAGGGCAAACAAGTTTAGTGAAAACACAGTAATCCAATATGGCTGCCATTGTGACACAGCTAACTGTGGCTAATGCTCGCTGCTTGGAGAGAGGAGATATAGTCGTGTGATGATTAACCTCAGCTGAGACCTGGAAGCGATGAAAGCCCTTGAAGTGAAATCGAAGCCTCAGTTTAGAAGGTTAATGTGTTTTATAGTGGATGTGGGTATAAACCACATAAATGGACTCTTAAAGGGTCATTTTACTTTACTTTAAAAAGGGAGGAGTTTTGAGGCTTTCTCTTAAGTGTGAGATTAAGAGAGTTGGTGACCTCCCTTTAAAAAAAACAAAACAAAACAAAAACTTATGTTTTTTTCTGTTTTGTGCCGTTTAGTTACCTGTGCAGCCCACAAAGAAGGATGCCCATATTCCTGTGTGTGCCTGTCAGTTAATGATGGCTTATAGGTCAGACCTTGTATGACTGCCGTAGTGATTTTAATGGAAAATGACCAGGGTGCACATTAAGACATGCAAATGAAGCATGCAGACGCCCTCAGACTAGTGGAAAGGAGTTGAAGTCTGAAAGGGGCTTATGATTTTAACCTTCCATGTGTTCGCAGACGTCTGCGTTGTTACTTCTTTCTAAAGTTAGGCTTCAGGCGCATTCCTCAGACAGCATTTTGAAATGTGCTATGCTTTTCAATGCCTGATATAAAGCCAGTGTTTCCAAAATGATCTTTATCTTGTAAATTGTTCCAAGGCCGTGATGCGTATTATGAAAAGGAGCTTTTGCCCAAGTTTAGAAGTGACACCGGGGACCTTGTTTTGTACCATCTAGATGGTCTGGTGTGACTGCTGTTAGGAGCACAAGGCAGGAAGCTCAGGCAGGAAAAAGGAAAAGATAAATATGAAGCCTGCGGTGTATTTTTAGTGTGTTGTCAGTTCAGTTAAACTGTGCAACTTAGGAGCACAAATAGTAGCTCAGGCAGAGAAATGGCTACATGCGATGCTGAGTTTTAACCAGCGCTCTCTTTTTGTCCTTCTCTTTCAGATCTCAGCAACCTCGGCTCTCCCCTGTTGCAACTCTCCTGCCCATCATCCTCTCCCACCCCTATTCCTTCCTCATCATCTCATCGTTTTAGCCTCCCCTGCCCTCCCATCCTCCCTTCTCTTGCTCCCCCCTCATCGGCCTCCAAGATAGATTCCCTCAGGAGTAAGGTTGACCTACTCAAACTGCCCCTGGCTCTCTCCACCAAGTCCATCTCCGAGCGCAAAAACCAACTGGGAGGCGTCGGCGAGCAGCGCGGCACGGCGGGAGGAGGCGGGGCTCGTAAAGCCCGCTCACCGCCGACCCGAGACATGGACAACGAGTCGCAGTACTCGGGCTACTCATACAAGTCCTCCCATTCCCGAAGCTCCCGAAAGCACAGGTGGGTAAGACCCATTCAAGTAGGCACACTCAGGCTCATAACTTCATGTATTTGTTTCTGGTCTGTTGTTTGGACTGATTCGAATATTGGTTGGTTTAAATATTGGATCTTCAAATACATATTGTGATTTACACAACATAATTAGAATGACAGCAACAACAACTGTATTTCTGTATTTGTATTTTTTTAATCAAATATTTATGCAACTGCAGCAGTAGTCAGTCCAAGAGTGTAGATCAGGGATCTACGGTGTAGGGAAAATAAGTGCAACATGATGTCTCAGTTTTTCAACATGATAACAAAATGCTATTGATAAAGATAACGAAATCGCATCAATCTGCCAGAATGAATGAATGTGTAGGAAAAGCTGTAAAAGTCATGAAAATACAGTTAAGTCTAAAATCTGTGCCGTCCTTTAAATATTCGAAAGCCATCCCAGTGGGCCAGATTGAAGTCTTGGCTGGGCCGATTCTGGCCCCCCGGCCTTATGTTTGACACCCCTGGTCCTAATTATTATTTGAGTTTTTTCTTTTTCTGAAGGAGACTCCCCAGTCACTGAAACTCAGCAGTGAACCAAAATCTGCAGCTGCTGCCTCATAAATCAGCGATTGTGGCACTTATATTAGTTAGAAAATAACAGTTTTTAAAGGTTTTGAGTTTATATACAGGTTTGTACCTGATGTGTATGTGGTTTCTAAACTCCAGACCAACACTAGCCATCTGAAAGGATAATTAATCATCAAATGTTTTATCACTTTGTAACAGGTAGTGACTTGTGAGGTTTCATAACCAAATTCTCCCTATAAGAAGTCGTCAGTAACAGTAGGGTGTCTGGTATGCAGCTCAAAAGCTTTACAGATGCTGTGGATGAAAACCACATGCTGAGATCCACACTAGGAGACATAGTGGCACATATTTTAATACTGAACACTCACACATCATACATCTATATTGAAAATAGGAATTATAAAGTATACTTACTCATACATAACCTCATATAGAGCCAGGAAGACGGCTTTAATTCTAAACACATCCATCAGAGTCGCTACAGTGAACTAAGAAAACAGTTTGCTGATTAACCACTCAAAGAAGCTGAGTGACCCCTGGGCTGCTTTTATACATGTTATCCAGGGAAACCTTAAGGAAGCATTTTCGCTGAATCTGTGCGAACGTCTGTTTGCTTGATTAAACTTCAAATTTTTTAAGCTCCAATCTCAGTTGATAAATTGGAGGTGGTGAGCGATGGCAATGCTTTTAATTTCCTTTCTGGCAGTATCGTTTTGTTATGCTTTAGAAAAACACCACTGTTCACTGGGTAAAGAGGAAAAAAAAGCTATGAGGCAATTAATCATTCTGACTGTTTTTAAATGAGAGGGAAACAGACATAATTCAATTAGTGACTATACCGAGGAATGTAAGACCCATTTCTTTGTTTACGAGGAATTTTAAAAAGTTACAGTTGTGGTCAAAAGTTTCATACACTCATCATGAAGGTCACAGTAATTTGGGGCTTTCAACTTTTTCTTTGAACTGTTTTTTTTCCCCTGGGTGGCACCAAAGTACAGCATGTGTCTTTAATAAGTTGCTGGATGCACAAGTTTGAATTTATTTTGGAGTTTCTGTATTTCTCGCAGGGTCAAAAGTATAAATACGGGCTCGGATATAAACATACGCTGACTTAAATCTTTTAACAAGTGGTGCTGAAGCTTCTACAGTGTCTTTTAACTCGACAAGACCAAGGCCTATTAACCTCTCATTGCTGATCATGATTGTGGGCAACTGTTTTCTTTTTGCCAGCATAAAGAGGAATTGTTTGACACCACTGCTCAAAAGAATGGGGAAACCCAGACTTGCATAAGTTGGGAAGATCCCTTGTAGCCATTTCTAAACAATCCCAAGATCATCCGTTCAAATAATTGTACGTAAGTATAACTTATTCACATGTGTCACGACTTTGATCCAAAAAGATCCAAAACGGTCCCCCCTCAGATAAGAGGAAATTGGTCAGGATGTTCAGAAACAACCCAGGAACCACCAGGGCCCAAGCTTGACATGAACTAGAAACTGCTGGACCACCAGCATCACTGTCCACAGTGAAGCTTGACTGAAATCTGCATCTGACCACAAGGCTATGGACATGATCAGATAAGATGGAGGCTGAAACATTTCTATTTGGCCTCAATGACAAAAGGTACTTTTGGAGGATTAAAGGTGAGGCTTTCAAACCTAAGAACACTGTACCAAATGTCACGCATGGTGGTGGTAGCATCATGCTCTGTGGCTGTTTTGCTGTCAGTGGTGCTGATATACAGGGTGGGCCATTTATATGGATACACCGTAATAAAATGGGAATGGTTGTCACCATTGTTTTTCTTGTGACATTACCAATAAGCTTGATGTGTCACATGGCCCTCTTCCTATTGGAAAAACAAAAGTTGTATCCAAGATGGCCGACTTGTAAATGCCCACCATGGTCACCACCCATCTTGAGGAGTTTGCCCCCTCACATATACTAATGTGCCACAAACAGGACTTTAATATCACCAACCATTCCCATGTTATTACGGTGTATCCATATAAATGGCCCACCCTGTATAATACAAAGTGGAATTACGAACAAGGAAGGCTACTTATAAAATCTTAAACTTCACATTAAATCAACAGCTAGAGGGTTGAAACTTGGACACATCTGGACATCTGGATCTGATTAAGCTTAAAAACTGGGTCCATGCAAAAAAAAAAAAAAAGAAGGAAAAAACAACCAATTTAATTGAACTTGATCAGTTTTGTCAAGACGAGTGGTCAAATAACAAACCAGAATTATGGCAGAAGCTTAATTCTGGTTAATGGCTATCAAAAGTGTCTGGTTGAGGTCGAGCTTGCTAAGGGACATTTAACCAAATATTAGTGAGGTGTGTGTGTGTATATTTGAGTTTGTGTGGATTAGCACAAAAGTCTAAAATAAATTGTTTTCTTAAGCCACTAAAGATGTTTGTTGTATAATGATTCCAGCCTGGAAAAATAACAGTTAAAAAACCCTTTAAAAGCCCAAAATTACCATGACATTCATGCCCACGATGAGTGTATGTAAACTTCTGACCACAACTGTGTGTTCTTCTATCACAAAGATTCACCACAGCAACTTTGACAGACAATCTGCTAAGACAATAAATAAAAATTGGATAACTAATAGCAGATTGTGTCATGGTGTAACATCATCACATCATTCGATGCGTCTGTGACTAATGTAGCCCTTTATGATATGATACATAATTTCTTTGTCTTCAGGGATCGGCGGGACCGTCACCGCTCCAAGAGCCGAGACAGCAGCAGTCGTGGAGACAAATCGGTCACCATCCAAACACCCGGAGAGCCGCTTCTCGATGCAGAGTCGACCCGCGGAGATGACAGGGTCAGTTACAGTGTTTTCTGCTTTCTTTTTGTTCATGCATCGTCATCTTTGACCTCATTTAATCACCAGTCATTATTCTAATTAATGGTTAACATTGTGCATATCTTATCCCACCAATGTTTCTTAAATCTACAATTTGTTCAAAAAATGTTAGTGACTTTCGGTCCTTTAGCTGCATGTCACTAACATTGACAAAGTTAATAGGCTCAGATTACCCTGGAGCTGTACATGCTAAAATATTATGTTTAATTAAAGTCAAACACTCAGCTGAACTACAAATAGTCCTTTAAACCAAAACTTTGACCTCTCTACTTTATTCAGGTCAAAAAGCTGTTGCTGAATTCCCCATCAGTTTTCCTTTGTTATCCATTCAAAGTGGTCTCTCAGATTCTTTCAACAGCTCAAGTGTGTTTTCTTAGAGCTGTTAATCATATCGTTTCAGTCCTTTTCTGCCTCGTCAGTTAGCGAGGAGAGAGCAGGTGCTGACTTTAAAATAATCTGACTTCACTATTTAAAGTGCAGAGACGTGCTTTCATTAAGGAGCCCGAGGGGACGTATTTGTTCTCAGATGAAGTGAAGAGTCATTCTTAAAATAGTAAAGGGGCACTTGCATTAAAGCTTAACCAACCTGCAATCGCTCTTGGGACAAAGATGTTCAGGGCTTGAGCCCTTAGCTTCTAATTTTAAGTTGAGGGCTTTTTAGCTGCTCAAAAAAGATTTTTAAAAAAGCAAGAACTGTTCATTTGTGCTTACTCTGCCTTCCAACCAACCCTTTCATGTAAACATCTTGTGTTCATATATGTAGGATAAGCAGCTTCAGATTTTGTCTCACACCCTCCTTTTCTTAGGTATGGCTGAGCAACTCCTGTTCACACATACAATCCCAGCATTCTTAGCCTCTTGAAGAGGTGCAACTTAAGTCAAAGCTGGGGGTGAACTTAATATATTACTCAGCATAGAGATTAAAATGACTAATTGTTTTCTTTGTTGTGCAGGATGACAACTGGGGAGAGACCACCACTGTGGTCACTGGCACCTCAGAGCACAGCATCTCGAACGAGGACCTGACCCGCGTCACCAAAGATTTGGAGGAGTCAACTCCACTGGAGTGCAAGCGTTTTGTGGGTCCGGCGTTGGGAGGCTGCCTGAGCTTCTTTGCTCTGGTCACGCCATTAGCCTTCCTCATCCTGCCGCAGGTCTTGTGGCGTGACGCCCTCGAGCCTTGCGGCACGCCCTGCGAGGGCCTCTACGTCTCCCTGGCCTTCAAGCTCTTGGTCCTGCTCATCTCCTCCTGGGCTCTGTTCCTCCGCCCTCCCCGCGCCACCCTCCCGCGCTTTTTTGTCTTCCGCTGCCTCCTGATGGTGCTGGTGTTCCTGTTTGTGGCGTCGTACTGGTTGTTCTACGGCGTGCGTGTGTTGGAGCCCAGAGAACGGGACTATAGGGGGATTGTGGAGTATGCTGCCTCGCTGGTGGATGCTCTGCTCTTCATCCAGTACCTGGCTCTGGTGCTGCTGGAAGTCCGACACCTTCAGCCAGCCTTCTGCCTTAAGGTGGTGCGGAGCACAGATGGTGCCAGCAAGTTCTACAACGTGGGCCACCTCAGGTTTGTGACACCAGCCATGGCATTTAATTAATTTCTTTACAGAATTGTTGTTTGTTACTTGGTTGCCTTCTAGTAACAAAATACGATAAACCTGCTGAGAGGCAGAAGATTAACCTCATGAGTCCCAAACTCTTATTCGCAATGTACCACAGACAGGCCTGTGCTCAGCAGCATGAAGTATAAGCTGCAGAAAAGCTAAATGCTATGTCCTTACATGAGGATGCAGGGTCTCAGTTACTCTATGGAGTGATTTTTTGCTGGTATGGATTGGGTCCTTTGTCTTTACAAAGGAAAGAGTCACTGCAAATCAATACAAAGTTGTCTTAAGTGGGTTTAAAATGTCTGAAAGTTGATACTTGGGTGTGTTCACGCTTGTATTTGAGAAGCTTTACAAGCTTTTTTCTCTGCCTGTGCTCTGAAACCACATCCTAGAGCGGGAAAAATGTATTTTTAAGTTGTCAAAATCAATCACACACAGATTGTTTTTTGGAAACAAACTGAAGGGGAAGTGTGCGTGCATGCATATCTCCATCAGGCCATTATTTTTTTTTTTAAACGTGAGCAGGATGCAGAGACATCACAACTTAAATCTGATTTCATTTTTCCTTTTTTGATGATTCAAGGATGTAATCCATCCCCAGCAGTCACACCTACATCGTGTACACGGGCATTATTTTAAGTAACTTTAGTAAGATTTCAGTGAAATATAAAAAAAGCGTGACACTGGCAGGGACTCCATGGTTTTGGTGATTCTGGTGGTCAAGAACTGTTTAATGGAAATATAATATATGCTCAATTATTCTGATTATCCCAATGGACTGGGTAAAAATGTGCATATATTTCTTAGCATATTGCATGTATTTATTGTTGTTGAAACATTTCTTAGTTTCAACAACAATAAATCTATTAACTTTAAAGCGGAAGTTTCACAAAACCTAGGTAAATATTAAACTACACCAAAAAACAGTTTGGGGGATGTGAGGGGATGCATTTTACTTTGAAGTATGTTACTGTCCAAACATCAGTGTATCTTATTTTAAAGTAATAGTTGAGGTGTGACATTAAACGAGATCACCATCAAAGGCAGAAATGTGAGGGAGGTGCTGAGATATAGTTTACATTTACGTCTGTATTAACTGCAGCCTGTCCGTTGTGCAGTCAGCAGCTGTTGTTTGACCTGTACTTACTGTGACACTGACGACAGATACTGTGTTTTAGCATCCAGCGGGCAGCTGTCTGGGTTTTGGACCGTTATTACAGCGACTTCCCCGTCTATAACCCAGCTCTCCTCAACCTGCCCAAGTCCATCCTGTCCAAGAAGATGACAGGCTTCAAAGTTTACTCTCTGGATGGTAAATATAGTTTCGTCCTGGCTCTGACGTCTGTCTTTAATCCAGTAGTAAATCGTTTTTTCTTTAATTTTCGTTGCCGTTTGTTGGTCTACGTCAGAAGCAGGTGGCTTTACAGCAAGAACGGGAAACATAAAGAACTCCTTAAACTACCTGTCTGAGTTCTAATGTGCAGTCCAATACTCCCTCCTTCGGTCTTACAGAAAACCCCACCAATAACTCCACAGGCCAGTCCCGGGCCATGATAGCAGCTGCTGCTAGACGGAGAGACAACTCCCACAACGAGTATTACTACGAGGAGGCCGAGATGGACCGAAGGATCCGCAAACGGAAGGCCAGGTCAGATACACTCCACGTTCCTCGTCGGCCTCGAGGGCCATTTATCACCAGCAGAACTTTTCGGTTTTTCATCTTTGATCTGTTGGGTATGTCACCACAGTTCTCTTTTACTCTAATAGGTTGGTGGTGGCGGTGGAAGAGGCCTTCACGCATATCAAGCGCCTCCAAGAGGAAGAGGCAACCTCATCTCCCAAACACCCCAGAGAGGTAATGGATCCTCGAGAGGCAGCCCAAGCCATCTTTGCCCCGATGGCCCGGGCCATGCAGAAGTACCTGAGAACCACACGGCAGCAGGCCTTCCACAGTATGGAGAGCATCCTCACACACCTTCAGTTCTGCATCACGCACAACATGACACCCAAGGTGAGTCGTCAATAGTTCCAATACAGCAAACAGCCTAATTGATATTAAAATATTTGTTTGTTTTGTTTTTAAACATGTTTGAGTATTGATGGCTGTTTCTTAGCAGAATTTTCTACTAGAGAATCGAATACATCTCTAACTCGGAGGCGCCTAAGTCCCTGATGATAGCAGCCACTTGATACTGTTTTCAGTCTTGTCCTGTGTGTACAGATACTTTCTATTGATTATCAAAACCCTTCTATATTATTTACCATAAGGATGTTTTTTTTATTTATTTTTTGCTATTTAAACCCAAACAGTCCCTCATTGAGTGCAGATGTACCTACCTTTACTCCTGAATACTCTCTCTTTTTGGGACACTTTCTTTTATTTAAAAAAACAAAACAGCTTCTATCAGTTGCTGTCTTATTCACAAGAGGTCAACACACTGGATCAATGTGCATATTTGATCTGGTATGGATGCTCCTTCCATCCCAACATGGCCCGTCCAAGGGATTTGTGCTTCCTTTCGGTCTCGAGAGGAGATGCCAGGGATCTAGTGTTAGCCAAATATGTTACCACTGTAGGACAGAGCCACTTTAATTAAATATAAAATAAATACAACACAATAAGGGGATCTTTGCCACTACAGAAAGGCAGAATTATTGTAGGATAGTATTTCTTTTACTTGTTTTAGCGGACAGTGTAGATCGATGAAATGATCTTCAAAGCCGCATCATTAGTGATGTAAATGTAGTTAAGTGCTTCATGAGTGTACTTGGGCACGGCACTTCAGCACTAAGACAGCTGGTGTTTCCTTGGTGATTAAACTCCAACATCCTTCTTTTCAGGCTTTCCTGGAGCGTTACCTCACTGCCGGCCCCACCATGCAGTACCAGCAGCAGAACGGTAGGGGGCGCCAGTGGACTCTGGTGAGCGAGGAGCCGGTGACCTCAGCCCTGCGTCAGGGTTTGGTCTTCTCCCTGCGACGCCTGGACTTCTCCCTTGTTGTCACGGTGACGCCGCTCCCCTTCCTGCGACTCGGGGAGGAGTTCATCGACCCAAAGAGCCACAAGTTCGTCATGAGGCTGCAGTCTGAGACCTCGGTGTAAAGGCGTCCAGTAAAACGTCTTCTTTTTCCTACACTTTCCTCTCCCCTCATGCTAACTCCTCCTGGATCACTGATGCGGTGGGACATGCGGAGGCCATGTGGTCTATTCTGGCCCAATCATTTCCCCTCTCATCAACAAACAAACCATTCAGAGAGGAACATCTCTGCGGGCCTCATCCTTCCTGTTTTGTGATCATCACAGATGCTTTGCGTCAGACTGTGATCAGCTCAACGATTGTTCAAACCCTGGAAGTAAACAGATGCCTTGACCTTTTCTTGTCTTGACAATGTCTTTACGGCACACTGTAAAGTTCTTTCTTCCTCTAAACGGGGACTTTTCCTCCTTTTGCCTCTTCTTTTGCTGTAACCACTGGACTAGTTTACTGTGCTGACTCAACACGTAAACACCAGAGGAAGGGGATTACATCACATGTGTCACTTCCTCTTATTTGTGTCTTAAAATCAGTCCAACTGGATTTCAGCTCTGACTGCAACGCTGATGTACCACTGCCCTCTGGTCCCCTGTCAGTGGTTGTGTTTAACATAAGCAGGACTGTTGTTGTTTTTTTACATATATATGTTAGAGGAGTGACTTTTTAACTTTCAGAATGTAGCATTTTGTGCAGTGAGTTAACATGTTCTCTCTTGTGGCCTTGAAGGGCCAGTATGTCCTTTTTTTTTTTTTTTTTTTTTTTTTTTTTTTTTTTAAATTTATGTGACTATTAAGCAAAATGGAAGTACATTCCTAACTCACTGCAACTCCAAACTGTATGTTCATGATTGTTTAAATATGCAGCTTTAGTTCATTTAACACTGGTACTTTTACTATTGATGTCACAGTTTTAGCAGGACGTGTTACAGAATAAAAATGACATTTTCACCTGGTATTAACTAAGATTCTGAACATTACTTGCGTGAGGATCTTAAAGTGTGAGCTTGACGATGTTCTGAATTTTTCATACTGTCAACAAATCCAGCAAAAAGACCAACAGTGCACTCGTCTCGAGTGTCATTACTTGGAATCTATTCATTGCTGCTACTTCCTAAGAACAACTCATACATGCATTATGCTGTTATTATTATTTTTTAACTCATGGATACTATGTTTTTGGAAATGTTACTCATGCCTAAGTAGTAAGTGGATTTACTCAGTGCCATTTATAGCTGGTTACTTTTAGATACAATTGAGTATTTTTGGCAGCAGGATGGCGTGAGTGGAAAAATAAATTGCACAGCAATGGAAAAACTGGAGCCAGTAACAGGTCGATGCCACTCTTTACAGAGTAAAACATTTCTAATATCACATAATGGTTCATATTTTCAGAATATTACTTAGATTCTTTAGTAAGTTATACTCGCGCTTTATGTTCTGTCTGCTAGTCAGTCTCTCCAATGGGCAAACTAAAAACGTCTTGATATCAGCTCGTATCAGAGCAACGTGTATGCTGATACTGAAATATGTGTATTAGTGGATATTAACCTGATGTATTAGCTGTGCTTTAGAGAAAAAAAAAACACATCACGTAGTACATTGGTGTTCTGGGTGTAGTTTTTGGATAGACCAGTAAATTAAATCAGGGTCTCAGTACCCATACAAAGCATGTTTTCTTTTTTTTTTCTTTTTTTTTTGAGGGGGGGGTATTAATAATTGACTGGGGGTATTTTTGGTCTTTTTATGGCTTTTATTTGACAATATGAAAAACAAGAGTATTACCAGCCTCACTCTTTAATGCAAATGCAATCTGTGCGTCCGATATGTTGAAATGCTGGTAAAATCTTTGCATTTTAAGTGATAAAATCTGCAGCTTTTCTGTGACTGACTGGGGGAAAAAGCATACTCTGTGCTAAATTCTAGTTAACTGTTTGTGCGACCATGTTTCAAGAGTTTCCTTAACAGATACTGACAGAGTTGCTGCATTATTGAGGGTATATTTAGATTCTGCGGAAGAAGTTCCGCCTGCACACTTAACTCTAAGCCACCCTAATAATCAGATAACAGCATTTTGAGTCACTGTGTGCAGGCGCTCATCTGTCATAAAACTTCAGTCCATCGGAAAACGCCCTGATTATTAATATTGGAAGCGAAATAATACAGTGTATCGTTACAGTGTAATACCAGGTGTAAATGTAGTCAGTCTCACACTTCTTACACAATTAAATGAATCCAGATGTGGCAGCTGTAGTTTAACTATGAGCTAGCTTATTGTGGTTTAATGTTTGTTTGTTTTTTCTTACATGCATATCTACAAGAATCCCAAACCAGACATGTGATTGTAACTCCTCTCTGCAGCTCCTCTGCAGCAGTAGCTTATCACCGCCTCGCCTTGTGCCACGAGCTGAAACGGGCACAGTGAACATGCTGCCTATGACCTTTCCTCAGCCTTAGTTTCCAGATGTGCAGGAGCAGCAGACTCTGACTCCCCCACCCCTTCGTCTGCAGGTCCTGATACTTAACCCGATGTTTCCACCCCACATGCTGAGCCACAGAAACAGACAAAAGCAGGCTGACTGTTTTTGTCAAATGCGATTTTAAAAAGTCCTTCACATTTCTGAAAAATGAAACAAACAAACACCAGGTCCGATTTGTTCGATATTTCATCTGATTTTTGTAAAAAAACTAACAAAAAAAACAAACGAACAAAAGAATGCATGCATAGATTTATTTTGGGCTCCAAATCCTTTTTATAATAAGTTGTTTTCTATCATTTTTACGGTGCCTAAGTTATGATGATGCAATTTTCAGAATGTAAAAAAAAAATTGTAGATCTGTGTTGTATTTTGTTCTTTTTGGTAACTGTAGCTTGTATAGTGTGCTAGGCTTTTTCCATTATTAAACCATTTATTACTTACAAGTCTCCTTGTTTCTTAACTTGCAGCATGGGGAACTTTAGTCTGTAAAGTGAAACATGTGACTGAAGCTAAGAAGCAAAAGGAGCTGAGACTTCTCTTTTTAATGTGGTTGAAGAAAATTAATATCTGCATTTGATCATTTTGGTTTGCTTTAATAAGAATTTGTTCTTGAATGCTGTTACCCAAAGCCGATTTGGGCCTTTGGACGTGAACAATTTTCACCAGTTTTTCACAAGACTTTTAGAGGAACTTCTGTCAAGTTGGGGGATGGCAGTGTGGTAGGCGTGTGGTTTCATAGCTTCAAAACGGACAGAGAGCCACTGACTTCCTGTTCGCTGCTTCTCATCTCTGTGAGTATAAGACATCTCGCTGACACCCTACAAGGGGAAAAACAAAGCAGATCAACCATCTTATCTTCAGCCCACCTGGTAAGAGCACTCATTGCTCTCTTTTTGATCCTGCTCTAGTAGGAGTACTTTTGAGATACCTGTGGCATTGAAAAGGGATGACACGGAGTTAGTGTCTCTTAACATCTTTCTTCTGGCTGTGTCGAGGATCGCGACTAAGTGTGTGTTATGTGTGTACAGACAGCATTGAAGGCATGGATATATGTTTTATCCTGGATGGTATTCTCATCCTATATGGCATCATCCTCACCGTGCTGTACTGCAGACTGAGGGTAAGGCAAACAGGAACCACACACACAGATCGCCATGATGGACTGTAGAAAGTGTACAGCTGTTACTTCTTCCTTCTAGACAGTGCGTGAAGGAAATGCACTTTAATGCAGCAATTTGTTTAAAGTTGCTCTTTATGTTAGGCTGGAAAAAGTATAGCAACTCTTATAAAACTTCCCCAATTTCTTTAGATAACTTTTTTAAAACTTGTGGTTCCTTGTAATAGTGTACGAGCATTCTTTTGAGTCAATTATCTAGAATCATTTTACATCCTCTTCAACATTTCACATGATTAATAAACTACAATGGGAGTCACCCAATCACATGCTTTCTTATTTCTTTTTTGACAGATGCGTCCGTCCAGCAGCTCATCTGGCAGTTACCCAGAGGTAAAATTAAATCTGTGTTATTGCGTAAAATTATAAAGAAATGGGGAATTTAATCTAAACACAAGTGTGTATAGAAAAGGGGTTTTTTAGCGTATCAAAGCTGTTTTTTCTCTGTAACATCATAGTTCAGCTTAAACACCAACCCTTTTTTATAATTTCCTGTAAGCAAGCTGACCACCGACCTATATTATTTATACTCTATGTATGTCGTCACAGTTTCCATCAGTGTTTTTTTCGCACCAAGTAACAGTGTCAGATCCCACTTCCTGTAAAAAGGGTCTAGATTTGCACATTACTCGTATCTCAAAATCTTAGAGTAAATGAAAAAAAAAAAGAAAGACTGCCAAATGCCAGTCAGTACCCGAAGAAGCATCCAGTTATTTCACGTGTCCAACACTTAGTTGAAAGAATTGCCCCTGAACGCACTCTTGATCATGTCTTTATTTCCATTCACACAGAAACAACCCGCTGGGGGAGGCATCTATGCGGTGAGACTTCTCATTCTAATGCTTAAAAACACATTTAAAATGGCACATGACGGAAAAGTGACAGCACATTGCACAGTAGATGTTTTTCTTTTTTATTCATCTCGCTGGCTGTCACAAAATCACACTTAAGAGTCGGTGCAGGAAATGAACAGTGTCGTTTTAGAGCAGCTTTCACATCAAGTTTGTGCCACTTCACAGTATGTGTGTCTGTCTGCTTGCATCCTGCAGGGTCTGACCACCCAAAGTACTGACACCTACGAGACCATCAGACTGGACAAAAAGCCCATTGTCTAAAACAACACAGATTTGGTTCAATGAGGATGCTGTTCACAAAAACACAGTGTTACACCTGTTGAAGCTTTATACTGTATAATACGTTGTGTTGTCTTGTAGCGGGCCGGGGCATAGACTTCCTATATGCACATTTTTCACATTTACTTTGTAAAAAATGCTTCCTGTATTCTTGAACTTTATAGTGTGCATGCATGAGATATAAAATTACTAAATAATTTAACTGTTTACTAATAAAAGCTGTGTCGATGAGTTTAAACTGTGTGACTCTTTGTGTCTCACAGCTGCTCTTGCTGAAGTTAAAAAGAAAAGAGAAGTTTGAGGTTTCTGTTCAAGTCTTCCCTTTTTTTATTTGAGCTGTCTGGACTAGAACTTCGAGCCGTGTAAACAGAGCTTAACTTCACTAACCGACCTTTAGGAAAAGCTTTATAATCCCATTGCTTTAATCTGTCATTGCTTTAGTTTAATTCTAGCTGATCGATGCTTTGTGTCAGAAAATTCTGATGACTATAAATACTGGTTTCTTAAAAGCTTCTTTTAATGTCTTTAAGAGGCTTTATTTTTAAAGATCTGACTAACAGGTGAAAACACAAAGAAGCTCAGTTTGCAGATGACGTCAAAGAGGTTTATGACGAGAACTGAGAAGTTGGAACCAAATTGTCAATAATGAAACAATTGTTTCTGCATTTCTTCCTTTCTTAATAAAGACTTTATGGTTACTGGTTAAAGTCAGGCAACACTTTTAGGGTTTTTAGACTAGTTGCAAAACCAAATGTAACACAGTGACTGATGCAGAAAGATTTTTATTTTTTAATATTGGCCTTTTCCTACTTTGGAAACATCTTATTTCTTTGTGTTAGTTTTTCATAATAGATGTCACCTTTCCATTTCTGAACCAACTATTATATATTGGCATTGCTCATAACTCAAAATGTTTCAAAGAAACTCAACGTATGATGGTATTTCACAAGTAATCCAAATTATGCAAAAAGTCAGTATTTTACAATTTTGATCCTTTTTTTTTAAAATAACTTGTGCTAATCTCTGAGGCCCAGCTTCAGTGATTCATCTTTATCACAGTTTGTATAGCAGAAAATTAATTGATGATACTAAAAACATCCTCAAAGACCAACTTCTTCCAAAGGCCCTGAAAGTTTTTTGTATGATAAAGCACCACATTAAGAACCAAATGTGATAATTAAGTTGTACAGAGATCAGCAAATTAACACTTTGGATCCTATCCCCTGATCTTAAGCCAATCAAGAATCTACTGCCAGGATGTAAATGGCAGGTGGACAAGCAGGACCCCACAAATTGTCATCAGCTTCCAGCAATGCTACAGCAGGAATGGATCGCCATCAAGCTTTGGGCCAAAAGCTGATATCCAGCATGCCACAAAACTGTAGAAGTTACATTAACTAAAATAAAAGCATGAACAAAAAACCTAAGTAAAAATGTAGGTGTATGAAACAAAACTACTCAACTTCTTTCTTCCTTAAAAAAATATTAGAACACATGTCACACAAATACTTTAGAAAACTGTCAAAAAGGTTAAACTACACTCTTACTTTTTAGGAATTAAAAAAAAATCATGTTTTTGTACCCAAATTAGAGCTGGAACACTAAACTGGCACACTACACTGACAAATCAATATAATTTGGCATCCTAATAGCGCAAACCATAACGTGCTTTACAGTCAATAACAACAATAACCATATTTTAAAATTTAAAAATATGATTTTGATTTTTTTTAAGTATAAATTAGGAAATAATTGTCATTTTAAAAAAAAGTATGTTACATTTTTTGTAACATCCTCTCTGTTGATTGCAGACGCAGGTAAGACCAGATAATACCACCAACAGAAAATCCTGATATGTGACTGTTCTGTTTAGGTGTCTAGATCTCACAGATAAATGTAACAGCTGCAACAAAGGACGTTTAAAATCTCTTTATTTGTCTCACCTGCCTTTGACATGGAAATATAACTGGAAATGCATTCAAAACAGACTCACAGGAGGCTGTACTTACCGGCTGTGTGCAGTTTTCCCCGAGGCTCCTCGCAATGACAGGACAAACTTGCTCACACTGAAGCGTCACACAAGCATTCTGCTGTTACAACATACCTGCCCCCAGCATTATCTCGTGAATCAAAGGAAGAAGTAAACATCTATGTTTGTGATTCCCACGGCTCAATGAGCATATTTTTCCTTTTAATATGGGGTCCCCCCCCCCCCCCCCCCCCCCCCCTTTGTACTGCTACGTTTTTTATAGTCTGCAAAATGATAGATGCGTCTTTAAAAGGCAATTTAAAAATATAACAGGAAACTGTTTAAATACAAAGCTGATATGTTTCAGACTGAGTGGATCGAGTGTTAGAAAGTGCAGCAAAGGTCCCGTGTATCAAGTCTTGCTGAAGAAGTGTTGTCAGAAACTGTCCGCAAGTCTAAAGCTTCCTGTTTGCAGTCTGGGTTTGTGGATCAGGCCATCTGAGCTTAAGCCAATAAATAAACCATTGAAAGTAAAAACAAAACCCCTCACAAACTTTCAGGTTATTTTGGAAAAATAGAACAAACTGGCATCGATAATGGTGTTACCTTCAAGTACTCCTGGGGAACTCAGTTCGATGAATGCTGTGAAAACAAACTTCATCCACCCATTTTCTTCCACAGAGAAGAATTGGGGTCACATTCTGAAAAGAAATGAATGTCTCTGGGTTAATTATATATTTTAAAAAACCTTTCACTTTAAATTGCTGGTATAAATGGAAGATGACCATTAGGGGAGGAATTAAAGCATACACGGTTATGTGAGGATTGTTAAAGAAAGGGGGCCAGAACCAGGCCGCCGAAAGGGTTAAATCGAGCCCACTAGCCTTGGATAACGTGAAAACAGCGATGACAGGGGGCATAAATGCTTTCTATCAAACGAGACAGTGTAAGAAAGGAGAAAAATTCATGACATAATGTGTTACTAAAGAATAACATACACATTACCGGTATGTTATGTCTAAAAACAACTTGGTCGTATGCGGTATGCATCCCGCCCACGTAAGACTATGTTGTGGCCCACCGTGTAAGATGAGTTTGAAACCCCTGGTTTACACAAAGAAACATCAACAACACTTGCACTATTGAATCTTCACCGTCTCCCCACAATGAATACTTTTTAATGGCTAATCCTACTTGCGGCTTTTCAGATCCTTTAGATGCTGTCATTAAAAACTTGTAGCATCTAAAATTCTTCCTAACAAACAGTAAAGTAACTATTCTGCACTCATACAAGCATGAAAGCGAGTCATTTAAAACCATGTTTGTGCAGTTCACCTGTTTATTTCACTGGTAAGCCACAGTAGTGAGGGTTTTAACCACACAATAAAAAACTACCGTTTTATTCTTCGTGTTCTTTTCTGTCTTTCACCCTTTTTTCCATTACTTTTTGATCTTGTTTTTCTTCTCTTGTTTTGTTCTAGTTTTTCTTTGTGATCTATTATCTTAAATATAAAAGGTTCTTGATCTTGGTGATTAGCAAAATGGGAAAAAGAAACAAACAAACAAAAAAGAAAATGCAAGTTTAGCTGATAGACAAAATAGATTCATAAATAAAAGTAGCCACCACTAATACAGTCGTTTCAAACAAAGTCTGATAAATACTCTCCAGAGTAAGGATTTTATTTACTTGCGTAATTGTAAGAGGACATTGTTGGATTTGTCCAAGAAGAGTAGGGGTGTTAATTAGTGTTACTTTTATAGCTTATTGATAAAATTGCAGACTACAATCAAATGATCAACAGTTTAACTGTTAATTTGATCCCTAAACATGTGTAGTTAGATATAAGAAGTTAATCTTGTGAAATTGCTTGACATAAAGTATATTTTTGGTTAATTTTCCGACCCTACCACTGCATTTTCATCTTGCGTCACCTGAACGCAGCGCTAGTGGGCGTGTCAGTGGGCGGGGCGGAGGGAAACAGGTGTAGCGACTCAACCCAAACCTGTATTCTGGTGCTTCTGCCTTCGCGTGACAAGCGAGGTTGTTCTTTTATAAACACGAACTTTATTTTTCTGTCGTGCGAAAGCTCAAATGCAGATTTAACATTTTCCGTTTATTTGTTCATTTCACTGGAAATGAAGATAGAGCCTCTATCAGCTATTTGCTAACCATTGTTCTTTTATCAGTGGAAGTGTGATTTTTTTTAAACATTATTTCTCAGTTGAACAGGAAACATCTGCTGCCCCTGGCTCCTTGCTGCGGGGTTTGTGTTTTTTAAACCAACCCTCAATTTCCCAGCTGAATTTGAACATGGAAGCTTAACACGAGATCTGAATTTCCCAGAAGAAGGCTAATAAAGAGAAACTTTTACTTTGGAACCAAACATGAAGTCAGCTGGAAAAAGTGCTTTGCTCCTGGCATTGCTTTCTTTAATCGGTGAGTTTTCTGTTACATTGATTTGCATGTAAATTAACAGTGACACTGCTTCATAAAACACGAATCACCTGTGTAAGCAAGTCATTTGGGGAATTCTGTGTTCTCCTTTCTGTTAACTGGGTCTGTGACGATTAAACATTTGACAGACATGGCATAAAGCTTGGATATAGTGTCTAAAATCTATACATTTTGAACTTCGTGGTAGCTTCTTGTGCTTAATGTTGGTGTAATTAACCCAGCAATCTTCCTATGAGTGTTAAAACAATGTCCTTTAATATAGAAGGGCTCTTTCCCCCCCCCAAGACACTGAATTATTATTATTGCAGTCTTCATAAGTCTCTATGCCTTTGCTTTACTTGCCATGGTTTTGGTCCAATTGTGCAAATTTTTTTTGTTACAACATGCAATGATTTCTGTCTCCAAATCTTAAGCTCATCATGTCACCAAAGATTTATAAATTTAGAAAACTTTTTAATTTTTGCTTTTTCTAAACAGACATATTGGATTTTTTTTGGCTACTTCTGATCTTTTAATTGCATTAACTCAACTGGAGAAATGAATGAAAACCTGAACTACAGCCACCAAACTCTTTAACTTGTGACAAGCTGTTACAAGCAGGGGCGTTTCTAGGATTTTTTTAATGGGGTGGCTGGGGGCATGGCAAAAAAATCAGTCAGGTGGGGTGGGACGGGGGCAGTTTTGCTAACTTTTTCTAAATGCAGAAAATCATCAACCAACATCTAGATAGACAAAATAAAGCTGATTGCGTCACTAAACGGATATCATATCACTGCAAATCATCTCAGTCTAAGCTGAATAAAGCAAAAAGACTAAATTTCCAGTTTTTGTTGAGCTGCAGTTTAAGGTGCTGGTGAGAAACCATATTAGTTTCACATTGTGTATAGTTCTTTTCCTTTTTTTAATTGCAAAACTATTGACTACAACTCCCTAAGAAATGTAACCCAATAAGTTTTTAGATTGCAGTGAGATTCTAGGGTGTGCCTCATCAAATTACCTTTACATTTTTAATTTGTGCGCACAGATGTACTCGAAAGCAAGAAGGTAATTCCCAGGGTAGGATTTAAACCTGTACAACATGCATAAAAGG